TAATATTCTTATTTTTAATTTTATTGAAATATGCAGAGGTTTTCTGGCAGCAAATCTTTGAAAATTTTTTTCTCTCTTATTTTGGTCTTCAGCTCTCTTATAATTCTAAAAACATGTACTTTTTTCCTGTTAATGATGTGTCACATAATCAAGATGTTTAATGAGTTCTTAGGCTTTCTTACTTTTTCTCCTTTTTATTAATTGTTCCTCTACCAGATTGGTATAAGAGGATTGGCCTCTTCTTCATGGATTTAGACTTCCATGAATTTAGTTTTATTGCTTCATTCTCAGTGTGTTATCTGTTTCTAAAATTTGGTCTTAAACTTCTGTATGTCTAGTCATTGTTATTTTGCAAATTGCATGATTAGTGGAACTCTCATGGTGTACTCGATAGAAGGTTGTACTACTAACCCAAAGTTCTTTGACAGTTAAAATCTACCAGACATTCTTTGAGAAAGATAAGCTGCCTCCTGTAAGTGTATGTGCTGAATGAGTCAAACTTCATTCATTGGCAATCATCATCATCATCATAACTGCATATTAACTCTATAATTTTGTCCTCGTATTTTTTCCCTGAATTATTCTAGAGTTTAGTCTCTGGTGTTTATTTAAATTTTGCTTGTTTATTTTCCTCGATTTCTTTCTTTGCCTGGATGTGCTCACTGAGTTGTGCCAGGAACAACCACCTAGGCCAACTGATTGGGAGAGATCTTTATTTGTTCCCATTCCAAAGAAAGGTGATCTGACAGAGTGTAGAAATTATTGAACAATAGCAATGATATCACATGCAAGCAAGAGTCAGCTGAAGATTATCCAAACACAACTGGAACAGCATATCAACAGAGCACTGCCTGAAGTACAGGCTGGGTTTAGAAGAGGCCGTGGTACTAGGGATATTATACCTAATGTCAAATGGATTTTAGCTGAACTTAGAGAGTATCAGAGAAATGTCTATCTGTGTTTCATTGACCATGCAAAGGTATTTGACTGTGTAGATCACAATAAACTGTGGCTAACTCTGAGAAGAATGCGAATCCCACTTGATTGTGCTTATGCAAAACCTATACTTGGACCAGGAGGCAGTTGTCAGACCACAGCAAGGAAATACTGCATAGTTCAAAATTGGGAAGGGTGTGCATCAAGGATGTGTCCTATCTCCATATCTTTTTAATCTATATGTGGAACAGATTATCCAGGAGAAATGTGGCATCAGGATTGGAAGTAGACTCATCAACAGTCTGCATTATGCAGATGACACAACCTTGCTTGCTGAAACTGAGGAGGACCTGAAGCGTTTGTTGCAGAAAGTCAAGGACTGCATCCTTCAATATAGATTGAAATTCAACATCAAGAAAACAAAGATTCTTGGCAAGCTCTGGTGGCCTAGTGGCAAGAAGCTGCACTGCAATCCCAGAGGTGAACAGTTCAAATCCTTCAGCTGCTCTGCTGGAGTAGGAGGGACAATCTCCTCCTGTACCAGTCAGATCCAATCTGACAGTGTACACACACACACACACAAGGGGAAAAAAAATTTAAAGAACAACAACAAAAATGCTCACCACTGGGCCGATTGGCAGCATCATTATGGATGGTGAAGAGATTGAGATTGTCAACAGTTTCAGTTTGCTTGGCTCTACAAGCAACACTCTTGGTACCAGCAGCCAGGAAATTAAAAGACTAATTGCATTAAGAAAGTCTGCTGTCAGAGAACTTTCCAGAGTCCTGAAGAGCATGATGTCAGTCTGGAGGCTAAAGTGCACCTGATACAGGTCATGGTCCTTGCAATTACTTGCTATGCATCAGTAAGCTGGACAATGACTATGGATGATAGAAGAATTGATGACTCCGAGCTGTGGTGCTGGAGAAGAGTATTGAATATACCATGGACTGCTAGGAGAAGAAACAAGTTCATCCTGTAGAGGGTGAAGCCAGGCTGCTCCTTGGAGGCAAGGATTCTGAAGCTCCATCTGACCTACTTTGAACATATTGCTAGGCAAGATAAGTCCTTGGAGAGGGGCATCATGCTTGGGATTGTGGAGGGACAGCACAAGAAAGGAAGACCCTCGATGAGATGGGTTGATTTAGTGATTGGTGTAATGGGGTTATGTGCATCAGAGACAATAAGATTGGCACAGGATAGAGCAGGGTTTAGAGCTGTTGTAAAGAGTGTTGCTATGAGTTGCAGGCCACTCAATGGCACATAACAACAACAACATATACATTAAAATACACACACACACATAAAATTTATTTAGTTCATTCTCCAGTAACTCCATTACCATTATGTCTCAAGGTAGTTTCTGAGTTTTTCATTTGGGCCATTTGCTGGCACCATCTTGTTAGGTGACTTTATATTTATTGTTGGTTTTGTACTACTAAAGTGTTACTGTTTATTAATTTTCTTTTTGTTGCTGCATCCTAACTTTTAAAATTATGTTTTATTTTTCTTTATCTAGGCAGGTAAGTTGGGAATGCTACTCTTGTAAATAGTGGGGCCAGTGAATCACTTGCCACCTGTCTCTAACTGGGTGAGGTGGTAGCTGGGTAAATGAAATTGGATTTGTTCACTGATGTTTCCATGTGCTCAAATCAATCAAGTTGGAAGTGCACTCCTTTCTTCAGTCCAGTGGCCCCAACCCGCCCCAAATGCACTCCAGTATGCAATCTTAATTCTGGATTCCTGTGGTAATCATAATATGCTATCACATATCACTTTTAAACTGTTCTCTCTCTCATCTGTTTCAATTCAATATACATATATCTTAATGAAGACTTGTTTCTCTTTATTTCATTTTAAAGAAGACGGGACTGTGAGTAACAGTTTACTCTGGGGAAGTGGATTTTGTGTTGATATAGTTCTTTTTGGTTTTGTACTCATATTTGATTTTTTTTTCTCCCCTCTCTGTGAGGCCTGGTCAAAAAACCTACTCACCAACAAACTTTTCAAAACTCATTAGCAATGGTTACAAGGATGAGTGGTTACAGCAGCGAGCCAATTCTGAGAAGAGGAGCCAGCAGACATCAAGAACTTCTGCATCATCTCAGTCCACAGAGGACTCAGAAGGACACCAGAACACAGTGATGCTTCCAGATGAAGAGGTCACTGAGAGCTCTTCCAAAGCTGAAGGTGAATCCTCACCACCACCCCCTGGAGTACTGGTTAACTGTGACAGCAGATACATTTTCATATTTCATTTTAGTCCTAAATAACCTGAAATTAGTGATCTAGAAACTGTTTAAAAGTCAACAGAGGTCATCTAGGCATCTTTGCATACTAAATGGGCAGCACTGAAAGAATATGTCTAAGCTCAGCATGTTTCTCCTTTGTTGTAACCCTCCCACTTCTACTCCTGTGGTTCCAAGTGATTATGAGTGAGCATGCTCCAACCTCACATCTTGAAGGTGGGGTCTAATGGGTGCCAACTTTACCCTCGGAAGCCAAACAGCTTGTTCCAGTTGTAAAAAGACAGTCTCTTTCTTTTCTTTTTTCTTTTTTGCTTTCTCCTTTCCTGTTTGCTCTTCTTTCAAATGTGAATCTTTTCCATCAACAGTCCAATGTGGGTCCACAAATCCATTGAAATACAAATCTCCTCAGAGTACTGCATGACACTTAATATTTTGGCTTGATAATGCCCCGATCCCCTCTACCAGATTCTGTTTTTGAGAAGCTATTTCTTGGGCATATCTTCCCTTTTAGTACTCCAAATTAAGAATTGGCCAAATACAGAATTACACTTTTTCTAACTGTACACTATCCATTGTTGTAGGGAAGAATTGTTGGCTTGCAGAGCAGGGAGTCATGTGGATTGCTGGCCTGTTGACTCAACTTGGACCCATATGGGAGATAGGGCTCAGTGAGGAGACCAAGAGGTCTGGAATGCAGGGAGAAATGTGTACTCCCAAGCTTGCAGCTGATGCCCATTTAAACTTAGCCACAGATGACTGGGATTTAGTTGACCAGAAACCCACATAGGTGACGAGAAAGATGATCCATGCTGTGAACTAAGGCTTAGTGCTTTCTGATGGCTTTCTGGACTGAATGAGGCTTATGGATGCAGATACTCAAAAGTTTTCAAGTTGAGCAGAGGATTCTTCAGCAAAAGGCATGTGTTTGTTTCTTCAGAGTACTGGTTTGATACGGGTGGAAAAATCAGCAATTGGATATCTAAAAGGAGAATATTAGGACATGAAGCAATGTAGCTGGCTTGCTTACTTACTTTCATAAAAGTAACTATTTGGTAGGATGATTGGAAGGAAGGGGAAAAAATCCCCACCAAAATAAAAATGAACAATTTATGAAGGACTGTATGAAACATAATGTACTTGAATAAAACACAATGTATATGAATGATAAAAATATTAATTTTTGAAAAGTCTGTTTCATAGCGTGCCAGTTTAAAAAAAATAGTCAACAGAGATATTAAGGTTACAACAAATAAATAGTTTAGAAGATACCTTGTGATTAAGTGTTCAAAAAACTGTATTAGTTTCTGGGTTTTGTTTTAAAAGGTCGTAAATAGAATTGGTTTGAGGTGTGTTCTTGTTAAACCTATTACATTTATGTTTAGTTCCTGGGGTTCTACAAATTATTGCCCTTTGTACCTTTAAGCAACTGGCTTTTACTTTGGAGAACTCCGTTCTTTCATTAAGGGAGCAGAAAGTGTGTTAGGGCTCTTCAAGTATTTGAAATGTTGATATAATTTTTTTTTTAAAAAGTGTTATTTCTCTTTTCCTTGCTCCATCCAGTCCCTTACTCTAGCAGCAATGCCTCAGTTACATGTGGTGGATATTCAGGTGTTCCTGGCTTGCTCACTTTGTATCCTGCCTGCCACCACCAGTTTTGTTAGTTACATACTATTCCTTCTATTATTGTGAATAACCAGACCAAGTTAGTTTTGCACTAACAATATCAACTGTGTTTTATAACTAATGTTGTTATTGTTTAAATAATAGTCTTTTTTTACTAATTTTCTGAATAATAATGGCTTAATACCGATTTATTCCATTAAATTGTACAGCTACTGTACTTGTGTTTGTTTTTTATTACAGAATCTTCTCCAAGTGAGTACCTGTAGAAAAACTGAAATGCAGCAAACCATAAAAGCTCCTTACCAGAAACAGCCAATCACACAGGTGGATATAGTTCTTAATTCTGCAACTTGAAGTCTCAGCAGCCTGGAATTTCTTTTTCTTCTGCTCCAAACTGCATGTATTCTAGCAATAAAACCATGTGCCATAATCAGAGCTCTGGAAACACACACTGGGGACAGCAAAAAGAAGGAGCATTTTCACGAGTAAAATAAAATTATTTTATTCTTTAATGTGTATTACAAAAGAATAAACATACTTGAGTTTAAATCATAGATTTGCATTTTGCTACTACTGATGATACAAGAGACATGAAATTAAAGAATGGAAAAGAGATGCAAGAAGTGGTGCGGAAACTTGATTAAACTTAAGAAAGGCAGTGAAAGCAGAGGCATACTTGGCTGTTGGATTTTAGTGTTCATGGTCTACATAGTTAGTCTTAAGTGGTAGAATTGATCTTACCAACAACAAGATGGATATTCTAATCAAGGGGTTATAGTTGGTTATAAATTTAGAAATTGTCAGCAAATACATCATGATTTGCATTATGTAATCTGTATATTTAAATTACTAGCAAGACACAATTTGAGAAGCATTCTGGCCATTGAACAATAAATACTAAATGATCAATGAAGTCCCTACAATCTGAACAACAAATTTTTTACTAATGGCTCTCAATCCACCTGTTTTGTGGGTAACTCAGGGTGCCATTCCTGAAGTGAGTGTGACTTCTCTGTAGTTCATATCCCCAGACTGTTGCTAGTGAGGACCATACTGTGTTCTCATTCATTATGGTGTTATCTTTGCCTCTTCTGTCTCCTTTTTTTTTTTTTTTTTGCTCTCTTTCTAAGTTTCTCTTTTTAATCAACAGCAATATCTTGTCCAGGACATACTGTTTTCCAAAATTCTAGCTGAAAAAACCTCCACTTAGACCCTTTTGTTTTAATTTTTCTGACTTGTACTATCAAGACTTGATATGAATAGTTCTTTCCTTCCACCAACAACATGATTATTTCTTTTTCTTGGTGTCCTTTTTGCAGCCAGTGTAGATATTTTTAACCTGCTAAAGAGGGAGGCTTTTGGCAACTTTAGTTTTTGGATTTTGGTATGGTGGTATATTTTTAAGGGGCTGGGCTTAGTGTGGATGTGTGGGAGTTGATGCACAAGGTCAGGTACCATGCACAACCCAATCCAAGTTGTCATTAGCACCCTTCTGCTGACTCATCATGCGCCAGCTTTGCTTACACTGTTTAGTTCTGGTCAGTATATTCACATTGGCAGAGCTTCCCAGCATGTATTAGCATTTTACATGCCTCCACCTGGGCAATTTGTTCTTGCCCACTGGTGTGCAAGTTGGAATCTGATGTTTCTATCATATAACTGTGTACCTGCTACCTGTGCATGTGTATAATTTTGATATAGAATTTAGTGGTTATATTTAGAAACAAGGAGAAAGATGTTTTTCTTTTATTTAAAATTAATGGTTTTATTTTAATTTGTTTTTAAAATGCTTTCTCTTTGTTCTATCTGCTCATCTGTTACCTTTGCATTACAGGTGCAGCAACCTCTCCATCTGCATCAACACCTGTGGAGCTCAAATGAACACTAATATTCTATGTGTTTAGGATATTTATTTTAAGGCATACATCTAATATGACTATCCTAGCAATGCTTACACATTCTTGTTATATTTTAGCATATATATTTTTATGAAATTATTCAGTGGCATCTTTGTTAATTAAATTGTGATTGTTTTACTTTTATATCTCTGAGATATTACATGCTGTGGAACAAACACAACTAAGACCTTTGCTGCCTTTTGTTGATCTGAAGCTGTCCCAGGATATTAGAACCAATTACTTCCTTGATGGTGTATCATCAATTGATATCACCTCCTACTGCTAGGCAATAGTGGTGGTATTTCTATTGACTTAAATTGCATAGACCCTTTAATTCAAGAAGCTCAGAAAATAATCTTTAAACCTTCCCCATTGCTTGATCCTATAAGCTTTTGAGAATTTCTTTTCTGTTACAAAAGAAAAAGATTTAATTCCAAAGTGCTATTATATCATTCATAGTATGAAAAAATACGCTTTAATTTATTATCCTTGAAGTTTTAAGCACTTAGCATAAAAATATTGTAGCCTTTGCTAGCTTTAATATTTCGCTAATACTATCTTTTGCTTAAACTTAAATACAGAATATTAAACACTATTTTATATTTTTTAAGAAATTACTATTTGCTTTTAATCTTCTACTTAATAGATTTAACAAGCATTTTTTAATAATCAGACTGAATAATTTTGCCTTATAAATTTTATTCCTTTTTTAATATACAGGTAATTAGCATTAGAATATAGTTTATTTATTTAATAAGTAAGCAAAAAAAAAACACAAACAACCCATCATTTGGCCTCTTTCCCTGAATAAGCTTATCATGTACTTGTTCACCTAAAATTTAAATCTTTTTAGATAAATATTTAATTATACATCTATGTCTACACTATTGGAGCAAATATTTCTATGGGGAAATGTATATACTGACACGGTCTATACTGAATAAAGAGAATTCTATTATTGCAGTAAAGAACTTACATTCTTCTTCATATATCTTTCCCTCCTCTCAATCTCTTCACCATCCATCCTGATGCTGCCAATTGGTCCAGTGGTGAGAATCTTTGTCTTCTTGACATTGAGCCTCAATCCATATTGTAGGTTGCAGTCCTTGACACTCTGCAGCAGGCGCTTCAGGTCCTCTTCAGTTTCAGCAAGCAGGGTTGTGTCATCCACATAAAGCAGGTTGTTGAAAAATCATCCACCAATCTTGACCCCACATTTCTCCTCATAGAGCCCAGCCTCCCGGATAATCTGTTCTGTATATAGGTTGAAAAGGTATGGCGATAGGATGCATCCCTGGCGTACGCCCTTCCCAATTTTCAACCATGCAGTGTTCCCTTGCTCTGTTCTGATGACTGCCTCCTGGTCCAAGTATAGGTTTCGCATTAGAACGATCAAGTGTTCTGGGATTCCCATTCTTCTCAGAGTCAGCCATAGTTTGTTATGATCTACACAGTCAAATGCCTTTGCATAGTCAATGAAACACAGATAGACATTCCTCTGGTATTCCCTGCTTTCACCCAAGATCCATCTAACATCAGCTACAATATCTCTAGTACCATGACCCCTTATAAACCCAGCCTGGACTTCTGGTAGTTCTCTGTTGATGTACTGTTCCAGTCGTTTTTGGATAATCTTCAGTGAAATCTTGCTTGCTTGTGAAATCAGTGAGATTGTTCTGTAGTTTCCACATTCTGTTGGGTCACCTTTCTTTGGGATAGGAATAAATATCGATCTCTTCCAGTCAGTTGGCCAAGTGGTCGTTCTCCAGATTTCTTGGCACAACTTTGTGAGCACGTCCAGGGCAGCATCTGTTAACTGAAATATGTCAATTGGTATACCATCTATTCCTGGAGCCTTATTTTTTGCCATTTCCTTCAAAGCAGCCTTAACTTCTTCTTTCATCACCATAGGCTCTTGCTCATATGTTGTTTCATGAAATTCTTCTGTGTCTTCCAATTCCTTTCGATACAGTGACTCAGTATATTCCTTCCATCTTCTTTTAATACTTCCGGGATCATTTAACATTCTGCCGAAAGCATCCTTGATTATAGCAACTCGAGGTTTGAATTTGTTCCTCAGTTCCTTGAGCTTAAGATATGCTGAGCAAGTTCAGCCCTTTAGATTTTCTGATTCCAACTCCTTGCGCATTTCATTGTAATATTTTGCTTTGTCATCCCGTGCTGCCTTTTGAAATCTTCTATTCAACTCTTTAGTATCTTGAATTCTTCCCTGTGCTTTGGCTTCTCTGCACTTCAGTGCAATTTTCAGAGTATCTTCTGACATCCATTTTGGTCTTTTCTTCCTCTTCTGTCTTTGCAATGACCGTTTACACTCTTCCTGGATGATACCCTTGATATCTTCCCACAACTCATCTGGCCTTCGCTCATTAGTGTTCAAAGCCTCAAACCTGTTCATGAGATGGTTCTGAAATTCATGTGGGATAGACTCAAAGTCATATTTTGGTTGCCTTGAATTTGGTTTAATTTTCCTCAGCTTCAGCTTGAATTTGCATATGAGTAGTTGGTGGTCTGTTCCACAATCAGCTCCTGGCCTAGTTTTCACAGCTGATATTGAGCTTCTCCAGCAGTTCTTTCCACAGATGTAATCGATCTGATTCCTATGCATACCATCAGGTGAAATCCAGGTATATAACCTGCATTTATGTCTCTTAAAAATGTATTTGCTATGAATAAGTCATTGTGAAAAATTCTATCATTCTCTCTCCAGCTCCATTTCTGTCACCAGTCCATGTTTTCCAACTACTGAATCAGAAAATGTTGTTGTGTACCGTAACGCCAGAACCAACCCATAACTGAACTTCCAGCTTTAAGACACAGAATTCAAATCCACCAGTTGCTCTGGGAAGAATGGGAATTCTCCTCCCATGCAAATAACTGCCTCTGAAATCCTACTGGAGGGTCAGCTATGTGTCCGTTCTTACTCAATAGCTCACAACGACAGAGACACTCAAGATCTGATCAAAGGTTAGTCAAGTCAGCCAGGTCCTAACTATTCATAATAATCTGAAGAGTTTTTTGGTGTTTTTTGTTTGTTTGTTGGTTTGGTTTGTTTTGTTTTTTTTTTCTCACTTATTTTCTCACTGTGTTCAATGGTATTTTCCAGAGGCTACATGGCATTTTTGGTACTAGTAGTCAGGAGCTCAGGAGATTTATTGCTTTGGGTAAGTCTGCTGTTAGGGACTTCTCCAAAATATTGAATAGTAATTATGTCAACATGAAGACTAAGGTGTATATCACTTTTAGTCATTAGGACAGGTGGTTCTCTTTCTGAGATGTTAGCTTATAAGTTGGCTTTTTCTTTTTTTTTTTTTTTTTGTCATTATAGTAAGTCCCTTCTGGGCTCTAGC